TATGTGCTTAACCAAATTCATGCCTTCTCCTCACTTTTATGACGTCACAGAATGGGGGTTATCTTTCCTTCCATGACCCCCTTCTAATCTTAAGAAAATATTTTCACAACTACTGGCATTTATGACTTATTGAGCCATTCGTTCTTATGTACAGAGCTAAGAACTTTGTGAGAATTATTTAATTTATTCTGCACAGTAATTCCATGTGCCATTATCCCCAATTTATAAATAATGAAACTGAAGCTTAGGACGTTTAGGGAGTGGGCACAAGGTCACACAGTTAACATCAGAGGAAGATGCATCCACCCTCCACACTCAGAGTTCAGCTTTCCAACGTCTCCATTCCACCCTCCACACTCAGAGTTCCAGCATTGCCTTCCAAGGTCTCCAAGAGCTAGGCCTTGGAACACAGTTGATCATTGCAGATGTGTCTTTTCTGGCAGCTTGGTGAATAGCAGGATGTGGAGCTGTGATAAAAGCAGGATTAAGCTTTCATATTTTTTCCTCTTCCGTATGGTTTTCCTTCACTCTAACCCTTGTTTTTCCAGGTATGCTAAATGAAGTTGACAAATTCTGCCTCACAATTTTAGTTCATGGACTGGATGGAGACATCTAAGTAACTAAGTGGTATACGATGTGATATATTACAGATGTGTTCAACAATTTTAGTTTCCCTTATAATACCCAGCAATCCTCGACCAGGGAACCTACACTAGACTAGAACTACCTCACATAATTAATTTAAATTGATTATTCATTCACATGTAATCTCTTTTACTGGCTTTTCATATTGAGTGAAGATAGCCTGTCTTATAAGGGATGTTTCTAGAGATGGTTAAACTAACATCTCAGCCAAGATTGACTTTTAATATTAGCCAATAATATTCCCTATGGTGGGATGCCATGCTCAGACTTAATGCAGGGGGGGAGGGGTTTGGTCCTGCCTCAAATTGATGGGCCAGGCTTTGTTGTCCAATCCCAAGGGAGCCCTGTCCCTTTGGGAGTAGTGAGTAGGGGGAGGGCTGGAGGGTAGGTGAGGGGGGCAGGAGGAGGGGTGGGAGAGAGCACTGTGATTGGATATAAAATTAAACTAAAATAAATAAATAATTGAAAAAACCAAATTAGCTGATAACTATTTGTCAGTTAAGCCTAGCAGTACTTATGAACCCTAAACCTCTGTTTTTATGGGAAATACATCATTCACCTTGGTGGCAGGAAACTCACATTTCATTCACTGCTTGAGATACCATTGGAGTAATGCTATCAGACAGACCAATCCACGGGACACTAGTAAGTGTGGAGGAAACGAAAGAGCTTCATGAAGACTCCAAGAGGCCTCAAAGAGTGCCAAAATGTAGTGCATGGAAGGAAAGTTAGACTTATAGAGATACTGACATGTAATATGGCTTGGAAAAAAAAAGACTCCCCAAAAGACTCATGTGTTGCATATGTAGTCCCAAAATGGTACATGTAATTATGGAAAGCAGAGGGGATAATGAAAGTGCTCATGGAATTAAATGACACATAACTGTAATATATAATATACTTTAGTGGCATTATTGGGAGGCAGGTATGGTTGGAGGAAATAAGTCACTGGGTGGGGTGTGCATCTTCCCAGAATGCATATTACCCTTTCTACTCTGTTTGCTTCCTAGTTGACTCAAGACGAGCATTTTTGACCTACCATACATTCCTTCCATGATGTTATAGTTTTGCTAGAGGCATGAAGCAATAAAGGCTACATGAATGAAATTTCTGAAACTATGAGTCACAAAACATCTTTCATCCTTTGAGTTATTTACCTGAGGCATTGGTTACAATCATGGAAAAATAACATATAGCATAGCTCTCAAAATTCCCTCGAGGCACCACTTAGTCCTCACAGATAATAATACCAGGCTCTTCCTCCAGAGTCTGGTTAACTAGTTCTTGGGAGTTATTAGACATGTGCAGATGAATTATAGATAGCAGCAAGAGAAAAAATGCTGAATTGGGTAAGCTTTGTGCAGACTTGCTACATTGCTTCAGTGTGTGCTTAGCCAACAAAAGCCACTCGTGGCCTTGACAGAGTCCGGCAGGAGGGAGGGAGAAAGGGTAAGAGTTGTCAAAGGCTTGGATAGCAACTGTGTCAGTATCGATTGCTCTTGCCAGCGGCCTCTAGACAAGTGCTATGTCGTTTTGACCTTTTCCACATAATGGGCAGTAAGCATCAAGTATAACTATAAAGTACCACAAGGTCAGAATTCATTTTCTTCTGAAGACGGGACACATTACTCAGCCCCATCTAATACTTCAGTCCTACAGACAGATGAATGCATAAGGTGGGCTAGGAGCTTTCCCTACTGAGAAAGGGCCAACACCTTGGTAGTTTGGAGTCCTGGGAGACAGTGCCAAAGGATGAAAGCTGCTATAGCAATATGGTCCTTAGGAGATCTGATTTAAACTGGAGTTCCTTAGAGTTGACATGATCTGCTCTCCTGACAGGCCTCATTTGAACTCCTCCCATGTATCCAGTCATTTTAAGGAAACTATAATCTAATTGTATAAATACATGTAAAATATTACTGAACTGTGAACTCTCAATCTGAGTTTATGTATTTAAGATAGATCGCCATGCATTTATCATTGCCAATGCAAAATGATGGCAGTGGTCCATTAAAATGGGCACTGCTGTTGCTTCATGCATCCTTCTGCTATGTAACAGCCCTTTCTAGAAACTAGAGCCAGTACCTGTCCCTCTACACAAATGAGTGATTGATCTTTTCAAGATTCTTCTCTACTCCACAGAAGACTGGCTTTATCAATGAGTCCCTCTTCCTTTTGTGTCAGCTACAGATAGCAGTGACCATGTTGGACTATTCTTGAAGGGATAAGATGAACAATGCAGGCAGAGTTTCTGAGATAGGAGGACTTGGGGCCAAACTGGGGAACCAGACACAAAGTCATTCTCTTGACTTCAAGTACTACCTAAACTTAGTATTCCCACAGAAGCAGAGAAGATGAATAACCATGGCGTACTCCTCTCTTGTATTAGAAAAGTCACTTCCATCTGGCGAGGACCGTGTCTCAGTTTCATAATCACCTTTAATATTTCCCTATAGGGTGCAGTATTATATTTTGACCAACAAAAATTCTCTACATCTTATTAGGTGCCCCTTTTATTTTTCTCTTCTCCAGATACACGCTGTCTGAAAATCTGCTAACTGTCTAGAAGAAGTAGGCATCATCTTCACAGTGTACCTTTGATGGAACCATCACCCCAATTTTTCACACAAAGACCCAGCCAAAGAAGTGAGATGTAGAGAAGATAACAAACATTTGAATTTAGGCTTGCATTATCTCTATCCCTGTGTTCATAGCCATTAAACTATTTTACCCCAGTGTCGAGCAAGTTACCCTCTCCTGAGCAATGTTTCTACATGGGTGCAAATCAATAACTAAAGCTTGGGTATCTCTAGCCCTTAAACTATAGCAGCTAGGGAATAGTGATTGGTGAGTGATAAAAAGTATATGTAGGGAGAGTGTAGGCCATTCTCAGTGGCATGAATATTCACTGCATTTTTTAATCCAGTTCATATTTGTCATTACTATCCTCCCATCTTAATTTTGTAGCCACACATGGACTCTGGCAATTCATCTAACCCTGAGCTCCATGAACCTAATGGCCTATATTTTCTTATATATTCTGTTTCTTCTATCTTTCTCTGTCCGCCTATATGTCTCCCCCCTCTCTGACACACACACACACACACACACACACACACACACACACACACACACACTATCTTATTTACGTATGATTCATTAAGGATGAAACAGGAGGTTTGTATATAGATATGAAAAATAACTGACACTAAAATGTTTACAATGACTGTCACAAGTTTGTATTTCCCTCAAAGTAATTCAACTATATTCATGGCAAAAGTATGAAAAATTATGCTGATGTACAGATGGGGGCAGAGGTCATGGGGTACACTCCATGCCCTGCATAATTATTAGGGACAAATGATTCTAGACAAAGAGAAGCAATGTCTTCAGTGTGTCTTTACTTGTGTATGCATTGTTGAGCCCACTAAGCTCCAGTGGATATTTCCAAGCCCATGTTCACAAAGATGTCATTAGTTGAACTCAGTGAGTCACAAAACAAAAGACTTGAATGTGAGAAAGAAACTTGCAGGGAGGATGGGAGCTGTATGTGGTGGGAAGTGAGAGAAAATAGAATGTGTCTTATATGTGTATGAACATGTCAAGGAACATATTTTATCTATTAAGGAATACAATGCAAATGAAGTTGCATACCCATGAACACCTCTTTAAAAGTAACTCTGCTGAATGTTAGCACAGCTGTGATAGTAGTAAGTAAGGTTAAGGGAAAGGTTTAGGGAGCAGGTGCCGGCACACCCCACTGGAGGAAACTAACCCTGTGGACATTTTTTAGAGGGCATTTTAGCAATAGACAAAAAGCATATTAATCAGTTCCTTGGAAACATTTTGCTAATGACCATGGTGACTACAGTGTCTCATTAATTCAGTTTAATTGGGTGGAGAATAAGTGGTAGAATTTTGCAAGATACTTGTAAAGCACAGTTACAGGGAGCAAGATATGATTATTCCCCAGACAATTCAAAAATTCTAGTAAAACTCATACTGTTTTCTTTGTCATATGCTTTTAATTACCTAATATCCTCTTAGTGACATTTTTAGTTTGAAACAGGATTGAGACACATGATCAAACTCTTAGATTTTCTGAAGGAGACCTTTCCTCCTTCGCTCACTTTTGAAATCTTCCTTTAGCTAACAAACCTTATCCTTATACATATAGTAAAAGTATCCTTTAATTTAATTCTAATAATCAGGCATTCCAAATAAGCCATGGGATGCCCTTTTGTTCCCATGTTGCATATTAAGGAGTTCTGAGGTTATGACCTGCATGGTGATATGGCCCACTGGGGTACAAGGTAACAAGTAGTTATGGGTTATTTTCAATGTTGGGCTCTTACCATCTGCAATGAAGTGTTCAGGCACATGCAAAGTCACCTTCACAGTAAGTGGACAGGACATCTGGTTGCCACACACCATGGCCAAGATGCAGGAACTCACAGCAATCAGTGTCAAAGCTGTCTTGTTAACTGGGCTTTTCAATAAACCTGGAAAACAAATACACAGAGATATAACTCCTTCAGGTGAGGATAAGGGATGGTGTAGAGGTAGGGAAGCCTATAGTTCCCTGGTGTGAATATTAACCAAGAGTAAAAAGCAAGGAGAAGGGAGGGATTGCGAGAGTAAAGGAAGGATGAAGGGAGAAAAGAGGAGAGAAGAAGGGAAAGAAAAGAGGACATGAAATTGGGATGCTATGCTGTGAGGTATTTGGGAAGATTTGGAGGGAAGAATTGAAGGTGGAAACTAATTATACAAATGCACAAAATGCTCAAGAACAAAGAGAAATTAATTAATAAAATATAAAATTGCATTTTGACAGAGGGCTAGAGACAAATCATAGTTTCAAACCTCTTATTGGGTTTTGATTTAAATATCTGAAAATAGGCTTGCTGTTTCTTTAGGTAAAAAATAAACCAGATTCTAAGTGTTGACAATCCTACTACTCCAATTTAGAGTAGTCAATGGTCATTCTTGATAACAGTAGTACAGTATTATACTTCCTTTAGAAAGCAAATGAAAAGACATTATGTGGTTGCACTTACTAAGAGGGAGCAGAACAAGTATGTTCTTTGAGTTAAGACTATTTTGGATTCAAAGTTAAGCCTTACTCCTTCTTATGTCTTGGATTTAGAATGTTACCAGAAGGCCTATGTAGTAGAAGCGTGACTCCACAATACACCCAGGTTCCAAAATGGACTTTCTAAAAAGTGATGGATTACAAGGTGTCTATTTTCATCAATGGATATTCATTCATGATTTCATGGCTGGAGGAACTGCTGGGGTGGAGGTGAGGACCTAGGTAGAAGAAGTAGATCATGCGGTTGGGACATGCCCCAGAAGGGTATTGTTTGTTTTTGAACTATTCCTCTCCACTCTACTGTTCTCTTTGATCCCCAGTCACACCAAGGACTAGAAACAAAGGGACCAAAGGAGTAGCAAGCAAACCTCCAGCCAGAATGAATCTCCCCTTCTTGAAGTTCATTGTCTTATGTATTTTGCCAGAGTGATGTAAATTTGACTAATACATCCCTCACTGGCTGCGTGAATTGTTTCATTCTCCAAACCTTCGTGTCCTGGATAGCTTTTGCCAGCTTACCACAAACTAGAGTCATCTGGGAAGAGGGATCCACAACTGAAAAATTTTCTCCATTAGACATTTTTTGGGGTATTCTGTAGGAACATTTTCTTGTTCCTTTATTTATTGAGAAAGCCTACCTCTCTCTGAGTAGTGCCACAAATGAGTAGGTTGTCTTAGATTGTATAAGGAAGATAGTTGAACAAGTCAGAGGAAGCTAGCCAGTAAACAGTGTCACTCTGTGTTCTTTGCTTCAGTTCCAGCCTCGAGATTCGTGCCTTGAGTTGTTCCCCTGACTTCTCTTCATGATGAACTATAGCTTATGAGCTGAAATAAACTGTTCCCTCCCCCAGGTTGTTTTGGGTCATGGTTGTATCACCCCAACAAAAAGTAACTAAAATAATTGTCATATACGCTGAGGATAATATTAAATACCTCTCAGGACTGCCATGTTGATTACATGATGGTACGTATATAACACCTGCCATATAGAAATATTTCATAGTCATAAGCTGTTTTGCATACATCATTAGCTTGGACTGAACACTTAATTTGTGAAACTAGCATGTCACAGAATAAGAATAAGTCCTGCCCAGGGCTTTGGATGTGACCCAGGCAGGAAATTGCTTGTTTTCAGCACAAAGACCTGACTTTAACCTCCAGAACACATGCTTTCTTTTTTTTAAAGTTGCCTTGGTGGTGTATAATTGTGATGCTAGGACTGGGGACAAAGAGAGAGGCAGACTTCTGGGGCTCACCAGCCAGCAAGCTTAACCTACAAAGCAAGTTCTAGATTCTAGAATAATGAGAAACCGTATGTCAAAAATCAAGGTGACAGCCCCCATGGAACAACTTCTGGCCTTCATGTGCATCCAAAGATAAGTTCACCAGCACACATGTGAACATATACTTACAAACCCCATCCTAGACTACCCATTGCTCTTTAGGAGTTTACTTACAGGCTATGAGAAAAACTCAAGATTGCCTTCCCTGTGTTAAAACCTAGACAGGAGGACACAGTGTGTGAAGGAGAATTCTGCATGGGTAAATTAAAGTAATTTTATGGACACAGTGGAATAAGTAAATTAGATCTGCCTGGCCATGTGTGCTCTGGGGCCAGTAAACAGAGGTCTGACCCCTCTAATTCTAATTCTTTGAGCTTTTCTTTTTGTTTCTACTTCCAAGGTTTAGATCATTGGCTTTTACACTGCATTTTCCAAATTTTCTTTGCCTCTTCACTTGGAAATTATACCTATGTCTGAGGCATTTTAATAAGCATGCCAAATGCAACCCATACCCATTGAAAACGGCACATCTTCTCAAAGTCCATGGCTATTCTCGACATTGTCATTATCGAAAGTCTCATCATTTAGATGACTAAGTGCTTAGATGTCATCTTTGAGGCTTTATCTTCTCTCCTTACAGAAACAAAACATTCACACAGCCTTCACTTTTTTTATTAAAGTTGCTGAATATTTTAGTAAGTTATTTACAACTATATAACCATGCAGATTTTAATACAACTTCACTTGTTAGTGTTATTGATCAGAAAAGATCGAAAGTACCATTAGACTGAAATTTTTCTTAGGAAATGCTTCAATAGATTGTAAAAAGATGATATTATGGACTGGACTGTGTTCTGAAAATTCATGTATGGAAGCTTAACCTCAATTGTGACTTTCCTTGCAATGAATGTTTTAAGTTTAGATAAAGGGAACTATTTTAAATGAATTCATAATGAAGGGTAGCACTTCTAGTTCAGTTTTCTGTTGCTGAGACAAAACATTGAACAAAGCCAACTCTTGGTAAGCAAGGATTTAATCTAGCTTACAATTCCTGATCATAGTCCATAAATGAAGGAAGTCAGCAGCCCACTTTTTCTATGAAGTTGGTATTTTCAGCCACCCTCTTTCCCCATTCCTTCTATTGCCTGCTTGTAGGACACAGGTGTTGGCATATATGCCAACTCATACCTTGCTGAAACTCCTGGAGCTATTTTATAGCATCTGTTCACAGTATGTGGTCCATATTCATCAATCTGGCATCCACAGCATTTCACAAAGACCCCCCACATTCAGGGCTCATGTGCTTTCTGCTACCTTGCCCAGGTGCTAGCAGAGCTGAATTGCTGAAAAACCCTCGTAGTAAGCAATGTCAACATGTTCTCCATGTTTTGTGTGGTACCTTCAGGTATCATTCCACCTATTCCTTTATCCCTATCCCTTCACATCTTGTTTGAGATTTACAGTAAATGGAATTTCCTCATATTCTTCTTAAATAAGTGTGCATAATATCTCCCCCAATAGCTTGTTATAAGGCTCATATGTTTGAATACATATATTAGGAGGTTTGGCCTTGTTGGAGGAGGTATGGCATTGGGGGGTAGGCTTTAAGGCTTCAATAATAAGTCTACACTGTACCAGAGTCTAGTATACACACAACAAACTCCTTGAACTGCATTTAAGTGCCTAACAATGTCTGAAACATGGTAGCATTACAATAAATTCATAATCACTTCCAGAAACAAAGTAATGCTGTCAAACAACATACCTTGAATACTGACCAACCAAAAAGGATGCCAACTAGCATAGCCATCCCACTGGGGTCTACCATAACAAGAGCCCTTATGGCATCCCTCTTTGGGATTTTATGGATATCTATTTTCTATTGATATACAGTGAGCTGCGTCAGGGGAAAATCACATGTCTTGTATTTATGTGTCTTTCATGCACAGCTCAGGCTTGGGATTAAAAGTTGTAGATCATCACTTATCCCGAGTATACACATGGACTTTGGACTCCCATCCAACAATGTGAGATGCACTCTCACCTTGAACTCTTGGGGGAGGGTCTATGCCCTGCCCTGGATGAAATGACAGACTATGGACACCCCCATGGAGGGCCTCACCCTCCCTGGGGATATGAAGGGATAATGGGGGGTAGGGGGAGGGCACGGGAGGAGGGGAGGGAAAGGGAGAGGGACCTGGAACTGACTTGTGAAGCAACCTTGTTTCTAATCTAAATTTAAACTGAAAAAAAGTTGCTTAGTTTAAGAAAAGGATCCTTGTCTTTCTTCCAAGTCCTAAGATAATGTGTCACATAGAAGGAACTATTCACATATTTTTAGTGTTAGAGATGTAGGACAAAGAATAAATGAAAGAATAAATTAAATTATAGATGGTTCTGGTGTCAAGAGATGGGATATCCCTAAAACTTAAAATTACTTCACGGTAAAAAGAAAGAACAAATTTTATTTCTTATCTGACTGTTCCAGATGTTTAAAGTGCCAAGTTTAGTAACCCTATGGCATGCATAAGCCAACATCAATGTTCTCTAAGAGAAAGAAGATACACGAGGGGCTAGAGTTGTACGTAGAGCTCACTTTAAATAACTACCATACCACTCTATACATCATTATTTCACACATAACAGTGGTGGCAGTTTCTATTCAAGAGTCTATGGAGTCTGTTCTTGGACAAGTGGTATGTAAGGAAAAGTCTAGTATGAACAAGTTCTTCAAGGAATAGAGTTTTGGAGCTGACGGCTTAGAAGAGACTGTCAGTGGTGGTCTGAAAGAGACTGCTAGTCCAGTGCCATGTGTGCCTGCCTGCTTACTGCCAAGATGGCCATGGACTCTAGTCTTCTGAAACTGTCAGATGCGAGGTCAATGCCTTTAAAAGACAACTTGCCTTGGTCACAATGTTTTATAACATCAATAGAAAAGAAACTAAGATGACATCCAATCCAGTGAGTCATGTAAACAAAACTATGACCTCTGAGAAAGCATTTTCATTTTCTAGTTCATGCAGCAGTAGGTGTGGATAGGACCAAGAATTTTTTCCACTGTCAGGAATGCATATGGACACACAAAGCTACCTCCAAGGTAAGGAAGACACCCAATGGCCAGGACAAG